AAAAATAGAAAAATTGTCCCATATCATAGGTGCGCGCGAATCCCGAGACTTACGGTCTCCGTCCCCGATTGTGACTCCTGATCGCACTTAATAATATAGATAGGACGCTGCGCGCGCTCTGATTGGTCAAAAACCCATGTTTTATCAGAGTGTAAAACATTTGAGAACATTCCCTCGCGTTTTCAAACGCCCTTATTGTTTCATCACAGTGTAATTCACGACTTAGGCTTCTTTATTTGTTAAGTAATGTCATAACAACATCATAACATTTTTCAAATGTTTAAGAGCCGCTTCACTTGAAAGGTTTAGATATATATGTATATATTCTGAAAATACTTTCTACAGCTTCTTTAAGCGTACAACAAGAAAAGTAACAGAATATCTTTTTACTCTATCCTTGACAGCATTTAATATTCCTTTTGTGCACTGATAAACGCTTCTACGTTTTAGAGTAATCAACGCGCAAAAAATCGAAAGGCTCAAAGCTTGAACGCGGGTCTTGAAATATTCCCATTTATGGCTCTATTCTATAGATTAAATTTGTTTTCTTACTACACGTTTATCTGTATAATAGGTGAATATGATCTTCGTAAAGCGGACGGAACCGAGCAAGTTATCCCAATTGACCAAATCTTCATACATCCTAAATATAACCGGCCAGTGACTGGGCTCGACTATGACGTGGCATTGATCAAATTGAAGAAACCAATCACGTTCAACAATGACGCAAGACCCGTATGTCTGCCCACCAAGGATTTTCCTCCTGGAACTAAGTGCTATGTCACTGGATGGGGCGATACAACTGAGGGGGGAAATTTTGCACAGGTAAATATGACTTGTATTCACGATATTCATGAAATCTCTAAATGAGTTGAGCTGGAAACATTCATTCACTGCGCAAGGTATGAAGAGAATAAGACAAAAAACGCTCTGGCTTTTTTTTTTTTTTAGATTTTGCAGCAAGCCCAAGTTCCTCTTGTACCACGTGACACTTGTCGGCGAGCATACAGCGACCTCCGATTGCCCATTACGAAACGCATGCGCTGTGCAGGTTTCTCTCAGGGAGGAGTTGATGCATGCAAATCGGACAGTGGAGGACCGCTGGTCTGTCCAAGAAATAACAAGTGGTATCTTATGGGTATCGTCAGCGGGGGCGATGGTTGTGCGCGCCCAAATAGATTTGGTGTGTATTCTGACGTGTTGGCCCTTAAGCCCTGGGTGCAGCAAACAATAAATCAAAACCCAACTCCATAATTGTCGAGGGCAGTAAAGAGATTGAAATTGTCGGTTGACTAGCTCATGTTTCATGGAAAATAAAAGAATCACAGCAAACTAATAAAAAATAATCTCACTTACCGGTTAATTATTCGGGTAAATTACGGTTAGGGTCACATTTCGCAAGAATATATTATATTTGACGATAAAATAACTCCTAAGTAACTTAATCCTGTAAGACTAAAGCATTTTATATAAGAAATAAAGGGGAAAATGTAAAATATTGTCAATTGTCATCATTTTATACTTGTAGTCGACTCGTTGTACTTCCTTCGTCTAAATTTCAAATTTTCTCGGTTTTCTATTTTCAGTTTTCTTTTTCCTTACAATCTGTTCCCGAATGTCGTAATCAGATATCCTCAGTGATGTATGCAGGACTTGATCTGGGAACTGCACTTGTTCACTTCATTGAATCAGTGCCAGTCTGCTATCGTCCAAACCAAGGTCGAAATGCATCTGACATGTAGCAAACGCTACGAGGTTTCAATTCGGGCGAAATTTCCCATTACATTTACATTTCTATTCGTAGAAGCATGCCCCTTTTCAAGACTGTATGGGCAACGTTTTTAGTAGTTAGGTCAGTTTTATTGTTTTTTTTGTTGTTGTTTTGTTTTGTTTTGTTGTTGATGTTTTTCAGTGTCGTAGCTAGGAACAGGTAAACCGTTATCGTTGCTGTTGTAAATGATCAATTCTGACCACACTAACGAGAGACAGCCATCTGTCAGTCATCTGATATGTGTTCCGTCTTTCCGAATTGAAAAGATTTTTTCGATGGGGATAAATTGCATGTCGTTAGCAGTGTGGTTAGGAGAGGAGAGGAAATGCTCTGCGGCTGAAGGAGATTGTGATTTGATGTTATGTTAGGGTTTGTTGCTAAGGTTCGTGACTGTGTCGTTATCTTTTGTTATTCGGTCTCCCAAGCTTTCTTTGCTTCGCAAGAGTTTCTGAGGCGAACTTTAAGTCGTGTTAGTAAGAGGGATT